AGAGAGACACAGCGAGAGAGGGAACACAAGCAGGGGGAGTGGGAGAGGGAGAAGCAGGCTTCCCGCCAAGCAGGGAGCCCGATGTGGGGCTCAATCCCAGGACCCTGGGATCATGACCTGAGCCGAAGGCAGACGCCCAACAACTGGGCCACCCCGTTCTGTGAATTCTGACGAAATGTATACAGTCCCATAATCACTACCACAATCACACTGTAGAATACTTCCAGCAACCCACAAAGTTCCCTTGTGTCCCTTTGTGTCAGTGTCCTCCCTTCACCCCAGCCCCTGGCAGTCACCGATCTGTTTTCTGTCCCTGTAGTTTCAGCAGTGTGATTTTTTTTTTTTTTTAAGATTTTATGTATTTATTTGACAGAGAGAGACACATCGAGAGAGGAACACAAGCAGGGGGGAGTGGGAGAGGGAGAAGCAGGCTTCCCGCCAAGCAGGGAGCCGGATGTGGGGCTTGATCACAGGACCCTGGGATCATGACCTGAGCCGAAGGCAAGACGCTTAACGACTGAGCCACCCAGGCGCCCTCAGCAGTGTGATTTTAACTGGAACCTTTGACAAACCAGATTTTATTGTTATTGTTCCTGCAGAAAGTGTGACCACATCAGGGATTTTGTTTAAAACCTTTCCAGGAGCTATCTGGGGCCGAGCAAGGATCCAGCATGATCCCCCAAAACTCCTCTCCTTGTTCTGCAGCTTTTGTTAGAGCTTGACGAGCCCAGAGATAGATCACCTGGTGTTTTTCCAGCTCCTCTGAGCTCCAGTGCTTGGGGGTGCTGTGAGGGTAAAGGGGAAAGGCCAAGAGGCCACAAGTTCAGAAGGGCCTTAACTAGCTTCTCACCCAGCCAGAGCAGAACCACTTTTATCCAGTTCTATATTGAGGTTCCACTTGTTTTTATTTGGCTGAAAAGTTCTGCTGCTAAAAAAATAAAAAAGTTTGCAACATCACAGATCTAATTAAACCCCTTTATTTCTGTAGTTACTTCCTGTTGCAACCAGAATGACATCCATACTCCTCACCTGAAGAGGTGGGCCCCTGTCTGCCTTGGCTGATTTACTGCCTTCCCTCTGCCCCTCACTCACTGCTCTCTAGCCTCGATAGCCCTTTCTGTCGTTCAGACATGCCTGCCTTGGGCTCTTTGTATCTGTTCCCCTGCCTGTCATAGCATGACCCTACATCCCCCTGTTGCTTCATTTGGCTCCCACTGCAAATGCCTCCTCTTCAGAGAGAGGCCTTCCCTGACCTTCTGGACCCTCTGTCCCATTACAGGGTGAGTTCAGGGGTAAGTTCATAGCACTTAGCAGGACTTGAAATGACCTCATGTGTTGGTCTCCTCCTGTACAAGGTCTGTCCGCTCCTTGAAAGTGCAGGGATTTAGTCTGCTTTGTGGGCCTGTGAGTCCCCGCACCTACAACAGTGTTATATGCATGGTGCATAGTACATGTCTGGGAATTGATTTTTATTAATAGAGGGGAAGCTGAGGTCAAAATAAATGAAGTGACCAGCATGCCTAAGGCCACACACAAATCAGGGGCAAAACCAGGACTTGAACCCAGGGTCTGCCTGGGTCCTAAGCCCAGGGCTCATTTTTACACTTGCCACCCGTCTGAGTCCCTCTGAGTTCAAAATGATGACCCTGGGAATCTGCAAGTTAATGAATCTAGTAAAAAGGCAGTTGCAGCCACTGTACTTTGAGAAACAGTGTGGACTTGGGCATTTTATAGATTTTTCAGTAGTAAGGATTGAAGCCCTAGCAAGTTTCAGGATGTTTGTCTGCTACCAGAACATCTAGCCAGCTCTGAACAGCTCACCTAGCCTGCTGTGCTGGTTAGTAAGGCTCCATATAGGGTGATGGGTTCCTGTGTCCACCCCATGTGGATTCACACAGCTCTAGCTATGCAAGTTGAACTTCAAGAGCGAATCTGGGGGGGTGGGGGGCTGCATCTTCCAAACCAAATTTCAAAGGTGTAAAAGGGCAGACAGTAAAAAAAAAAAAAAAAAAAAATCTCCCTTTCACCTTTGTCCTCCTACCCCGCAATGCCCTCTAAGAAGAGGCAATTGGTGTTATTGGTTTCTTTTCTATCCTGAGAGTGCTATTGCGAATAAAACCAAGGAATTACAAATATGAGGACTTAAATTATTATGGCCATTGTTACTATTTTCCTCCTTATCTCAGACAGATGATTTCTTAACTCACCCTTCCCCCACCCTTTGCTCCCCACCCCCACTGCCCCCCAACCTCACTATCCCCCAGGAAATATCAGCCGGTTCTAAATCCTTAAAACATTCTTACTGCTCCTCTACTCTCTCTTATCTGGGACAACACAAAGGCCTGTTATGTAAACTCGTTTTGCAGATCGCTGGGGACACAGACCTCAAGTCCACACACAGAGGTTAGCCTTGTCGAATTGTACCCCCTTTATTCAGCTCTCTGTCGGGTTCACTCTCCCCTTATTGAGGATGTTGCCAGATCTCTCCTTCACAGAGGTAAAGTGTATGCCCTTGGGCCTTGGCTCTCAAGCT